GTTTGGTATTTTTGGGGAGGTGGTGGGTTTTTTTAGGAGAGTTTTTGTTGTTGTTTTGTGTTGTTGGTTTGTTGTTGTTGTTGTTTTTTTGGGGGGGTGCTTTCAATACTGTTGTCTCTTACAACATGTAATGTGTTATTCAGGTGTTTTTATGTTTTATGATCCAGTACTGTTTGCACCGGGGGAATAGTTTTGTATTGAATAAAAGTTTTGAAACCTGAGTGTAGAGTGCTGTTATTCTTTCAAAGGATAAACTCACGGCGGAGGGAAGGATCAGTCCTATACTATATCCCGTCTGTCCTGCTATTTTTAGGGGGGTGGGGGGTGTTCTGTGTGTGTTTTTATGCCACCGTTGACACATATTGGATCATTTTGGAGGTTGGCTTCTGACCCTGCCTGCCGGGGTCAACCTAGGCTGAGAGGGATACAACATCCCAAATGAAATACAGAAGCTCAATAAAAATTCTCCCTACTCTGTAATTGACCTCAAGTCTCCTGCGTGCAACAATGAAGCATTTAACCACTATACCACAGGCATAAGTTGGCCAGTTGTTAAAATGTATCATGCCCAAAATTTAGAACGTTTTTTTCCGTTGCAGTTTCTTAATCTGTGGTACAGGTGGTTGCATCATGTGCTTGAGAGATATTTTGTTGAAATTCAAATTCTAAATGTTGAAGAAAGGCAGAAAAATAAACACACTTTAGGTTCAAGTTGTTGAACGAACGAAAGAAATTTTTCTCTTTGTTGTATGGGCTTAATACATTTTGACAGCCGGCCGACGAATGTATTGTATAGTATAACTTCCCGAATCAGAAATGCTGAAGCTAAGAAGAGAGAAGCCCGCTTGCAGCACACATTCACAAGTGAAATGTTTGTTGCAATTTCGTGCCTTGCCTTTAAATTCGGTGTGGAACTCCAGGATGTTTATGATGTTAAAGTAAGTGCTGTTGACAAAAGATGTCAAGCTATTTCAGTCAGTCACCAAAGCAATTTTGTGTCGATGAGCTTGATTCTGAAACCAAGCTTTTATCAAGTATATAACAGTGCAGCCTCTCTATAACGATCTTCGATATAACGACATCCTCTGTACAGTGACGTGGTGCCCAGGTTCCGATTTTTAGAAGAATATCTTTAGTACTATTTTTGGTTGCCTCTCTCTAACGACAACTCTCTATAATGACATTTTTTTTCTGGTCCCGATGATGTCATTATAGAGAGGCTGCACTTAAATAATCTAAATTGTGTTGATGGGGTTGTAAAATCACCTTCATGAAGAAAAATGTTATACTTTGCTCAGCCCTAGTTGGCCCTGGCAGACAGGGTCAAAGCAGCAAAATGATCTAAATTGTGTCGATGAAGACGTAAAACAGCTTCATGATTTAATTTTAAATTACGGTTACGGTCTTGCCATCCATGTTAAAGAGGCTAAAGACACTTCAGTGTTTTTTTTATCAATGTTTTGAATGAGCGAAGAGGTGGACGGCTGCAAATAAGGGAAACATACAGACCAGATCATTAATGATTTATTTAATATATAGACGGCATGATGAAATAAAACAGATACCGATATAATAAGCCGGACAGATACCGTATAAGCCGGACCTTGGTGAAAGGTGAGACGTATGGACGTATGAGTTGTATGGTTATATGGGATGGAGTATAAGAACAAGAGGACAGCTCTTTAGAGCAGTGGCAGGGAAGGGTGGAGTGCCATTAGTTCCAGTCCATGCACAATGATAAGATACACCTTTATTGTCCAGATTCTGGCACATTGTTTTGGTGTTTCGCCATGTACACACATACACGCACGCGCGCGCACACACACTACACACACGCGCGTGTGCGCAGGCTTACAGTCTCATTCATAAATATACATGAACAGTAATATGTATAAACAATAATTATCTTAAGCCAGATACATAGTGACATACTCAGTATTCTGACTGTAAGTCCATGTTATTCTGACGCATGCTCTAACGTCATTTATTAAGAAGGTGGCCCTCGCGTGACTGATCACAGCCGCGTAAAGCTGTGACATGTGGCAGCAAAAGGTTTTTGATTTTGATATCACAACTGTTTGTAAAGTAAAGCAGAGACAGCTAGAGATGCGAGACAATCAACACAGTCAACTCCTCACGATGATATTAGCCTTGCATCTGCGTTTGTTGCCATTTTAAAAAAAAAAATTTTCGGGGGGGAGGGGGGGTCCAAAAGGTGCCACAAAAATGGCATATATATATGAGCTTGGAACAACATTAAATTAAATGATAGTTACGCTATACAGTGGAACTCAGATTTAACGAGCTCGGATTCAACGAGATGAGATAGATTCCCCGGGGTTTTTTTCTTCTTTAAAATTAATATAAATAACCCGGATTCAACGAGCACTTAAATCAGCGAGCTCGGATTCAACGAGTTCGTTTCCAGGGTGAACAGCCCCCGCAGACGTGGTTTCGCTCATTTTCCCCCCAAAACGAACTGTATCTATTCCTGGAAACCATGCATTGCACCTGCATCGTGAACTAGGTCTATTGTTCACCTAGCCGATTGCATGCGACCAATCTGCGGCCTTTTTTCATACCAACACATGCGTTGTTGGCACGCGCATGTGTCTCCTCTGGCGTGTGTCGGGGTCGGATGGGTGTTGAACTTGAACGTCGCAGATACAAACGCGTCACAGTCTTTTTCCCCCTCGGCAACTGATCATTATATTACAATGATAAGCTAGTCTTGACGTAGATCTACGTAATGAATTGTGCGGTGGTCTATGGAATCTAAAGTTGCCGTATGCTAGACTCTACACAGCAACACAACTTTTTGGTAAACAATCGAGATGACACAGGAGTGCATTTGAACGAATCGGTCTTTTTTTGCACAGATCATAATATGCAGGCATTTCAGGCACTTCTTGTGACTTCTCTTGAAACATTACTTGCTCAGTGCCTCTAATTATTATCTACACCAAACCTCGTGTTTGCTATAACGAACACTCGGATTCAACGAGGTTTTAGGTCAGGCCCGGCGACCTCGTTGAATCCGAGTTCCACTGTATAGCCTAGGTCTATTTATTAAATAATATTTTTTTTTAAAACAACAACACACCAGAACAATAACAAGAAGGAAAAAACAACCCACATCAACAAAGTGAAACACTACAAGGAAGGAAAAATAGAAGAGAAAAAGCAATAAATCTATACAAATCTAAAAGGATGTAATATAGTAATATTTTTCACATGAAAATAACAAATCAACGTGATGTCAACAAGTGAGAAAGCGACGAAGTGAAGTGGAGGTGAAAATGAAATTTCTTTCTAAAAGTAAAGAGGTTCGATTTCTTTATTTTTTTCCTCTCGACTTCTTCCTTCTTGTTTCGATTCCCCCTCCCGCGGTGTTATTATTAGATATATAGGCTGTATTTTTTGCTTTGCTGTGCCGCCCAATTTTTTTTAAATGCTCTATTACGAAAATCACCCACTAACATGAAATAAAAGAAGTCAGAAACAAACACTAGTCAAATACAATATCAAAACAAGGTCCCCGCTGGAGCTGCAACTGTCATCTCTGTGTCAAAAGCGCCCTAAAACATATACTATGCGCTTTAACTAAACGTAATATAATATTAAACAGTGGCTATCTGACTTATAAATCGCTCTTTGGGATAACCCAAGCGATGACGACACTCGTAGCGAGTTTGGCAGTACATTAATATTAATAAGACAGCACATTTCAAATGTGCACCCATGAAACATAGCCCACAGCAGGAAGTCTAAAAATGAATGCGATAGCCTGTACACTATTCAATGCCAAAATTATGTGATCCCCGGAGCAATCCAGCGGAGTGCTCAAGTGAACTGTGATTGGTTCACGGTCTTGCCGCTATTTTAAGCGACTCTGTGACCGTGAACCTGAGGGAGGTGAACGTGACATATTTAAGTCACCGTCCTATGAGTTGTGCCTTTCAATGGTTTTGTAGTGGAGTGGTGAAAGTTATTACTTAAATGTTCAGTTCCGATGCAGGATGAACGAAATTGACGTTTAACTAACAAACATATTTAGTTCTAGAAATCAAAGCGAATGAAAATAAAAGCACTAAGTCCTCCCTCACCAACCCAAAGATCCTAAAATTATACACCACTCCATTTACTATGCCCTTGACTATCTTCAGCCTAAGATAGCTTAATTGTGTACGCCCATTTTTTAGCCCCACGAGCCGCCCCTGATATGAATGCACAATGTAGTACGATTCGCGGACAAAAAAATGCCAAAAAATCGCGGCCGCGACGAACGCAGATGCTAGATTAGCCCCAACAGACAACAGGCACTCTGTTTGTGGAATCTACTCTAAAATTTACTTTAAAAAGAAAAAGAAACAATAGCACTCGAAGTTCACAAGAGATTTAAAAGGTTTAACCAACTATAGTGGCGTCCGAGACGTGCTGATAACGTTATCAGTGAATATCAGCACATCTCGGTGGCGTCCAAAAGAAACTTGAAAATGTAATCACCCAATCATCGTGTTTAAGGCTTTCACTACCTGCTCATGCAGAATACAGATTTAAAGCTGAATGAATTCTGCATCATTTGACATATTAATTTTTCATCTATGTTGAGAGACGTCCGAGATATGGTCACTCAAAACTGACCTTACAAAACCAGGTTAGGCAAAACTGTGCAAAATTAGAGAAACGCAAAAGTGTGTTCGCGCGTATATTATATTGAAGTGCATTACAATTGGTGGAATGGACATATATTGAATGTCAAATGAAAAGAATATTATTGTCTCTGCGATGAACAGCATCTTTTGATGATACTTTTAAAAAGATTGAAGAACAGAGCAGTTACAAATACCACCAAAAAAAAACTGGACTTAACCTAGACGTGTTCATTATAAATAAGTCTAGGAGCTATAATTAATGGTCTCGTGTCGAGCACGAAACTTTTTTAAAACATGGGACTGTGTTAGTTAGATTTTGTACTTAATTATCTGTCAGTGAGGAACAGAAGCTACGAAACTGCCATGGTTTTGCGTGGTCTGGGGTGGAATGAACAAAACCGTTCTCATGAGAATCACCGGATGGCTTGGTTTAGTGGACTACATACTCGTACACCGCGCAGGTGCTGGAACGTCATGTCGTTACCCTTATTAAATTTATTTCTTCATGGTATCATTCAAGTAGACATCTCTTAGCATAGCAAAGAACTTTCTCACCTGGCCAATGCCACTAAGTAATTCTTGGAGAACCAAATCAGTCAAATTAACGTAGAGTGGTCACCAGTAAAATAACCCCGATATAATGAATCCTAAAAATGTGAAGAATGAACTACCATGAAACAGCAGTTGAAGAAAACCGACTTTACTCCCAATTCAGACGCTTTCTTTGCAAATCTCTGTGATATCTAGGATGAAAAGACGGATACGTATGCCTAAAAGGTAAAGGGCTCGATGCCCAAAGGGTTCGTGCACTACATAAAACTAATGGCTACTAAGCAAAATAACAATGACCTCATTTAATGTTAAGTCCAAATTTTGCATGGTATTTGTGATTGCTCTGTTTTCCATTTTGTTTGAAACTATCATAACAAATATCAAAATAGAATACAGTTTATTGCAATTTTTAAAATCTCAATCCAATGGGTATGTAATGTTTGTCCATTCTATCACTACTGATGCTCCCAAATATATGCGCTAAGGCAATTTTACGTTTCTTTGATTTCACACAATTTTGCCTAGCCTGATTTTTTTTTCCAGGTCAGTTTTGAGTGACCATATCTCGGGCGTCTCTTAACATAGATGAATTATTAAAGCGTCAGATGAAGCAGAATTTATTTAGCTTTAAATTGTATGCTGCATATTCAAAGTAGGTAATGCGAGGCTTTAACATGGTGATAGCTGGGTGATTACATTTTCAAGTTTCTTTTGGACGCCACTGTATAACCGTTAGGCAGACAAACACTATTCTCGAAAAAAGAAAAGGCGTTAATCATTATTGTTTTCTGTAGCGAGTTGGGTCTTCCCTGGTCATGACAAGCTAGCTGCGTGCTCTTATACACATTACATTTCCTTTACTTTTGCCTCTTTACCAAGCTTGACCTGCAGTTGACATCAAAGCCTATAATTTATCTTCCTCCTTGGATATTGAAGGGCGTCGATCGTCACTTCAGGATGTACCAACTATCAATTTAATATATGCTGGTATTACTGCCTGTGATGGTTTTGTTTGATTGTACAAAATATGTAAATATACAACACAAAAAGCAACCCAAGAAACACAGGAGACTAAAAGACAAATTTTAATTCACGGGTGTCGCAGCCCTTTACGACCGTTGTGAGCACGTGTATAGAGTTGTTATATGATTATTATTATTATTGAGAATAGAAGCACTCGTGCGTGCATGGCATGGAATACATACAGATAAAAGTGTGCGCGCGCGTGTGTGTGTGTGTATGGGGGG